AGAGATCCCAGGTGCGGGCATCTCTGTTGGAGCCGCAGGGTGATTTCGGAGAACGGAAGGCGGGGAGAGGGCAGGGCAGGATCTGCTGCCGGCTCCTGACAGCAGGTTTGAGCTGTGGGATGCTGGGTGCAAAGGGATATTTGCCCACGGGATGCTGCCCACGCAAAGGGACGTTGCAAGAACAATTTGCACGTGGCAGGCCGTCCTGTTTATCTCTGGAGTTAATAGCCCGTACAAATGAGATTCACTGAAATTTGTTTTCACTTTAGCGATTGTAAACACTGCATTTCAATTGCTGGACGACTAATTTTCTGCCTTTCCAGCTAGCTGTCCCTTTCCTTCTACCTAGCTGATCTAAAATCAAATCATCACCTTCATCAGACCAAAATAATGCATCCCAAAATGACAGGCTCAGGGTATTATCTGCATTAACCAGTCCTTCTCTCCCCACTCTCTGCCCTCCTGGTCCTTTCACACTGCTGCCCCATGGGACAGGGGAGGTTACAGCCCAGGCACAAGAAGAGCTTTTTGTCTGGGTTTTGATTCTGAGGCTTAGCAGTTACAGGGAAAATCAGATCTTGGTGTCTGACTAAAGCTTTGGAATTGCTATTAAATTAGGTATTGAGTATTACAGAAATACTTGGTTGTAACCACGTTTTTGAAGATGTAGTTTGATGCAGGTGTACAGATAGGGCCCAATCCTGCAGGTTCTGGTTCATGTGAATTTCCAAGACTCGACTCAACGTTTTCTGAGTGGGAAAAAGGGTACCAGATTATGCTGTCTAAACAGGAATAATTTGTAGGGAGGTACATTCCATGCTGAGGCGTCTGTGTGGTCTGAGGGACTTTGCTTATAGCTCTGATGGGCATCTGCTGGGTGGCATCCACAGCACACAGGAGCATCACTCTGGAGGGTCCTCAGCCCTTGGGGGCTGCAGAAGGGCAGGAAAATCTTGCCAGACACTTTTGTGTTTGTGCTTTTTTCTGTGAGAGAATAAGTGGTGGGGTTTGCACAAGTAGTTCTTTATCTGTTTTATTGAAATTTTGTTCCATTTAATATCTTCTTTAAGAATAGCTAGAAGTGATGATAAAAAAAAGTATCTCTAGAAAAGTATATCCTGGAACTTTGGAAGATCATATTTTTATTAATTTTCCTCACATTTCTAATTACAGTTTAAGAAAGCATCAGTCAATCCATTATAACAAAATCCAGGCAAAAATTCTCATCCAATTGCTTGAATTAATTATGAAGCAAGGTTTTTTATGAGAAATAGATTTTCTATTATAACACAGCTATGGGGCATTTTAATTTCCTCCATTGCTTGACATGTTTTGACCAAAGCCTGATCTCTTTCTAAAATATATGTTTAATTCAGTTAGTGCAGGAATTAAGAATCTGAGTGGTGTCAGAATTTGTTTTATTTACTGAAGCCTGATTTGGGTGCCCCTGGATGAAAATTAACAGGTTTTGTTGTTTTTTGGTTTTTTTTCTGGTTTCTGACCAATTTATGAAAAGATGCTTTTAGTCATCAACTTTCACTGAACAGAAACACATGTTTGAAAGTCTCTTGAGGATTTCTTTTTAATGAGCAGTATCCAAGATGGGGTTACTTCCCATACCCTTATGGGAGTAAAGAGCTTTCAAGCTCCATCTCTCTCTGAATTCAAGACCAGTTGCTTTGTCTTGTCTGGAAATGGCCAAGTGTTTAAAATGTCACATTATTTTAGTAGGATGTAGCACATTCTTCACTGCTTGATTAGCAGTGCTGCTGGGGGCCCTTGGTCCCTGTCACCTTCCCCACAATCCTGTGGCACAGCAGGCTGCACACATCAGGGACAAGGAACCTTCCCTTTGCATGAGCTCTTGCACATCAATCCATACAAAGGTCATTAGGTGCTGTTTGGGGGTGAATATTGCCTTTATTAAAGCATCACATTGGAATCTTAGATGTCAGGGAGGTGTTTGTCATTTCTACATCCCTTAGCTTGCCCCAGGGGCTGTTTGTGATTTTAGGGGACTCCCAGCTCTGAGCACACTGTGAGGAGGAGTGAGTTGTGTGGCTGCTCACACACTGGAGAAGCTGGCAGCTTTAATCTGTCTGCTTGGGAGTGTGTCCCCATGCAAACTCTGCAGTGCAGGGTGTTGTGTGTGGTGTGTTGGACTGAAGGGACTCTGCTTCCCCTGAAGGGAGGAAAGCATGGTGGTCTCTGATCAGATGGAACAAGGGATTCCACTTCTGGTGTGCAAGGTGGGATTTGCTGAGGTGCAGCCTGACTAGGATACTTATAAAAAGTCACACCTGTTTGGCTCCTGTGCCACAGTCAAGGCAGCCAGCAGCTTTGCTAGAAAAGAGTAAAGGTGTTTAAATGTGCCCTGGGGTGGTGGTTCCACTGGGACATGTCAGAACTGTGCCTTAAACTGCTCACCAAGGCCAGGGACTTGTTCCCACCAGGAGGGAGAAATTAGGCAGGTGTCTCAGAGTGGGGAATACAGGGGAGAGATGGGGAGAATGGGAATTCCACAGTCCTTTGAGGCAAATCTCACCAATGTGTCACCTGCAAGTCTTTGCTTCCCACTCTGTGATGGTTTTCATCGTATGTGATGCTTCCTATCCCATGGGAGTTTCTGCCCTGGTCATTCTTCCAGATTTTCATGAGATTGATGTGACTTTCCGTTGTTGATGTTTCCTGAAGGAGATGATGGGAAGAATGTAATAATAGAAGCATCTTATGGTAGTGTTCTCTCATGTTCCATGGACCCAAGGACCTGCAATCCTGATTTACAGCACTGCTGCTCCTGCAGAACACTACTTTGCAGATGTGCTTTTTGGGTCTCTTCTAGCACAGAGACAAAGCTTTTCTCATGTACAACGGGAGTTGTCCTGATGTGCTGAAAGGAGAATTGGTGTGATTTGTGCCTTCATCCTGTGTAGCATCCCCTCTCAGAAACATGGCTGTAAAAGTCCAAGATGGAATTGGAGGTTACTTGTCATTAGGTCAAATGGACACCACTAGCAATTTGGAGTCCCTTCTCTAATTAGTGTCAGAGGGAGTTTTTTCCCTGTGGCAGTGATGAGGAGAGAGAGCAGGCAGCCCTCAGGTCAGCTGTGACACTGTTCCATCCTCACCTGTGATCACCCTTCCAGCAGGACACTGCCTTCACTCTGTGGGTCAGTGTGGGTCGATTCCTACCTGTCCTCATCCCCTTTCATTCAGGGGGCTGGTGGCAATCCTGTTGTCTCTCTCAGCAGGGAAGACCTCTGGATCTCAGAGCTGTCAAAGCCTCTGCTCGAGCTTATTTCCTCCTGTCCCAATGGTGTGTCCTTTAGACAATGTTTGGGATAGAAAATAAAGCCATCTAGTGAGATAAACTTTTAATAGGACCATTGTCACTGAGTTACCCTTGTTGATGGGTTGAGATACCCTAAAATCATAGAAGCCTTCTGCACATGCATCATGGCCTAAGCCTTATTCCTTGGAGAGGTAAATTTAGATAACTGAGGAGACAAAGAGATGCCACCCAATTTTTCCCTTCCACCAGATTGAACAGAAATTACGCCTTTCTCAGCTCATGGGGTCAGCTTCCACTAAGCTGGAAACCCTTGTTTCACCGCCTTGCTGATTAAACCTCACTATAATTAATCAATTAGTTAATTTGCAAAGCGGTGACCTATTCAGCAAAGTAATACCTGACCTGTTAAACCCAGCTCCTAATTCTGCGTGGTTGGAATTGCAGGTCCTCACACGAAAGTCGTTCGTCGCATTTTCACCAACAGCCGGGAGAGATGGAGACAGCAGAACGTCAACGGGGCCTTCGCAGAGCTGCGCAAGCTCATCCCCACCCACCCG